CCGTCATCAGCGTCGTTGAGCCGAATTCTCCGACGCAAGTCTACTTGCTTGATGACGCACTCGAGCTCTGGTCGACTATACTCGTAAACTCGGACGCGCATCTTGCGCCACCAGAGCTAGTTTATCCTTTACCTTACCTGATTCCTCTCTTTGCACAAGGATCAGACGTTCTTCGGAAGTGTCTAGAGATCACGGAATCGTATGTGCTTCTTTATCCGGCTGATGTCCTGTCCGATGAGTTTAGGATACCTCTCCTACGTTCGCTCTCGTATTGGATAAAAGACCTCAAGCCAGAGGCCGCTCGCATCCTTACTCACCTTCTCATCGCCATCGTTCGCTGCGCCATTAATTGTTTTGAGGGGCAAATTGCCCACGCCGGGATTCAGCGCATAGTGGGCGACCTTCTCTCGACTGGTCTCTTGGACAAACTCATGGAAGGACTGCGCGGTGCATGGAAAATGCACCACACGCACTGGCCCAACCGCACAACCCCTGAGTACTATGTTGATGGCCAACTCGAAACTGATTACTTCTCCGTGCTGGCCCGCATCGCATTCGCAGACCCTCGTGCCCTCGTGGCAGCCTTGACAACCATAAGCAACGAAGACGCAGACGCGACCGTCGACTGGCTGCTGGAGGAGTGGTTCAGCCACGTAGAAGACATTCCCGACCCAGCAGACCAGAAACTGATGTGTTTCGGCCTGACTAGACTCATGGAGACGGGCCAACCGTGGATCCTGGGCAAACTGCAGAGCCTGATGTCCATGTGGACGACTGTGGTAACGCATCTTCAAGAAAACATGGACGATCCGAATGCAGATTGCTTCGACCGGAGCGACCCAAACGATTCTTCCACACTAGGCGTCGAGATCGAGAACGCAGAGCAAGGGCGCCGTGAGGTATACCTCCGGACAGACCCCCTGTACTCGGTCAATCTTATGGAGTTCATTCGCGTCCATTTGCAAGAGGCGATTGAAGCTGCGGGCGGTGAGCTCCAGTTTCGCGAGCTGTGGCTGGACCGTGTTGATAATGACGTCATAAAGGCGTTTCTTGGGCTGGGTATCATGGGGGAAGGCGTCAACGGGATGCCTGCTGACGACCAGTCCGGAAACGTGGACAAGAACATGTGAACGGGGTTGAAGTGTTGAAAGGCTGGCGGAGGTAGGGAGTGGTGAGGTGGGGTGGAAGGGGCGGTTTCTTAAAATGTATATGAAATGTATATAATTAGCCTTGGATAGATGAAGATAGCGCAGAAGATTGGGCCATTGATGGCTGATGGCCCCTGGTTCTAGTAGACTCTGCAATGAGAGACACTTTTCTGAAACGTTTTTGAGTCCTTACTTGATCCATAACCTATATTTTGAAACTCTTGACTTGATATAAGCTACCTTGCAAGCAGCCCTTGGTCGCATCCCATTCATCAAGATGGTCTTACTCAGCCCTAAAGGGCTCTAACCCGCAAGACGGACTACAAATGTACATATATGCTCTCTTCCACGAGTGGAGGAGTGGAGCAGCATAAGAACAGTGCTTGCAACGATTGTAAATTATGAACCGTATGCCTACCATACTGGGCGCATGCCATTTATTAAACTGTCTTTTAATATAGTCCTAGAGGACTTTTACTCGTTAGCTAGATAGACCAGAAATACACATTCTTACTCTCCCCTATACAAGCCTTGAGTGCATGGTGCATGTCGTTCATCATTCACATGCCTGATTTATGGACCGCCTGGCTGGCGTACGGGAAGGG